TGTCGTACGTGCGCAGGGGGCGAAGAGTAAATCCGTCGATTCAGCTTTAACGAGCCATGCACGATGAATTTGGCAAAACTCACGATTCGTTCGGTTGGAATGTCGCGAACGTGTCGCGACTCTGTTCACGGTTCAACGATGTCGCGCGAATCGAACTCGATCGTGACAGCTTCCGTTGAAAATCGATGCGATCTCGTGTTGTGCACCGAGACGGTGCTTTATGTGTCACCGACCGTCTTTGTGGGTGTGAATACCAGCGTATCGAGCGTTTGTCGAATCGACGGGGACAACCTCTCGCTCGCTCTTACGGCCAAGTTGTCGAGACGCTGGTTAGATTGTAACATCGCGACGGTGAGCGACTCGATGATCGACGCGCAACTGATCGAACAATTGCGCGATATGAGAGTCGACGACACGGGCGAATTGGTGCGCGGTTGAAGAGTCGCGGTCGGTCGATATCGATATACGGTGTTGAGGTACACTTCGCCAATATTCGGGTGCATCGCGACGCGAAATCAGGATCGATCGGTATAACGCTGATCGATCTGACAATTTTGCGATTCAAAGTTCGACCGCGGTTTTTCGATTCCGACGTATTACGCGAATCGTCGACTCGATAGTAGCGTAAATCGATCGCGAGATCGCGTTCGATCTCACGACGTTTTTCACCAAAAGAACGTTCCTGTCGCGTTACTTCTTTTTGTACAGTTATTAATAAACTATTGTACTTACCGTCGAATTTATGTACTTAATGTTTTTTAACGAAAAACTTATTTCTAAGATTGTTCTTGCGTAAATGACGAAACAAGAAATGATTTTATAAAAATGTATTTTTTAGGAATAAATGATTTTGTCACAGCTTTCAACGTTCGACCGCGGTTTTCCGACTTCGACGTATTGCGCGAATTGTCGACTCGATAGTAGCGTGAATCGATCGCGAGATCGCGTTGGATCTCATGACGTTTCTCACCAAAAGAACGTTCCTGTCGCGTTACTTCTTTTTGTACAGTTATTAATAAACTATTGTACTTACCGTCGAATTTATATATTAGGTGCGCAACTAAGTTCTCGCTGTTTTCTTGATGCAAATGCAACTTTATTGTGAAAAAATGGTTACAAATGAATCATTCAAAATATTGCCCATCGCTAGCGACAACTTTCTCCCATCTTTCTGGCAGAGCTCGAATACCGTCACGGTAGAAGTGTTCGTCTTTTGAGGCTATCCACGAATCAAGCCATTTTGAGATGTCTTCATATGAGCGGAACTGCTGATTAGCCAGACCATGTGTTATCGAACGGAACAAGTAATAATCGGACGGCGCAATATTTGGGGAATATGGCGGGTGGGGTAGGACTTCCCATTTGAGCGTTTCTAAGTAGGTTTTAACGGGTTTGGCAACGTGAGGCCGAGCGTTGTCATGCTGTAGAATCACTTTTTCGTGCCTCTGCTCGTATTGTGGCCGCTTTTCGCGCAGTGCTCGGCTCAATGGCATCAATTGAGTTCGATACTGTTCCCCAGTGATGGTTTCATTCGGTTTCAATAGCTCATAATAAATAACACCGCCCTGGTCCCACTAAATACACAGCAAAACCTTCGCAGCGTGAATATTCGGCCGAGCCGACGACGTAGAAGCATGACCGGGCAGTCCCCATGATTTTGTTCTCTTTGGATTGCTGTAATGAATCCATTTTTCATCACCCGTAACGATGCGATGAAGAAAACCCTTCCTTTTTTGCCGCTGGAGCAGTTGTTCACAGGCGAAAAAACGACGCTCAACGTCTCTTGGCTTCAAATCATAAGGAACCCAAGTTCCTTGTTTTTGAATCATTCCCAACGCATGCAATCGCTTGGAAATGGCTTGGCGGGTAACTCCTAATGCTGAAGCAAGCTCTTTTTACGTTTGGCACGGATCCTCATCGAGCAATGCCTCCAATTCAGCGTCTTCGAAGGTTTTTGGCCTTCCTTCACGCGAACGGTCGTCAGCATCGAAATCACCGTCTTTGAAGCGACGGAACCAATCACGGCACGTTGTTTCACTTAGAACAGCATCTCCGTAAACTTTTTGGAGTTCTCGATGCGCTTCAGCCGCCGTTTTCTTCGAATGAAAGAAGAAAAGCAATACTTCCCGCAAATGACGATTATTTGGCACAAAATCAGACATTTTTACACAACCAAAAGTATATGACGCAAAAACAAAATCACTAATGTGTCAAAGCGGTTTGTTTACCATATGTCTGAGCTTGGTTCATGACGTTTTGGTTATGTCACAATCGACCAGCACTTACTACTGGAGCCATCTCTTGAAAAACAGCGGGAACTTAGTTGCGCACCTAATACATTAATGTTTTTTAACGAAAAACTTATTTCTAAGATTGTTCTTGCGTAAATGACGAAACAAGAAACGATTTTATGAAAATGTATTTTTTTAGGAATAAATGACGTTTGTCACAGCTATTTCACTTATTTCTAGCTTGCTCGATACTCTCGTACACGATAAGAAATCACACTATGTTCGGTCTAAAGAGCAATATTGCATCGACCGATCTTGACACGACTCTTATATAATCGTACAAGGTGTCTTTGGCATCCAATGACGATTCGTCGATCGACAGTCCTATATCCAGCAATCTCGTCAAAATGGATCTTAGTTCGCGCAAATCGTTGCGCAGTAGCACGTTCACGGAAGAAGTCTGTCTGGTTGATCGATTCGCGGTTGCGTCGAATACATCGTCCCATAATCGATAACACAACGAGTGCAGAGTTCCTCTGGAAACGTGAATCATTATCGCGTTTCTTTCTTTGGTAACTTCGAGAATGTGCACGGAGTTCAACGTGACCGCTAAAATGCACGTTATTGTAACGATAGTACCGACGACGTATGCGAAGATTCGTCTTCGATTTCGCAGTTTTGATCCCGTCGACGATTTAGTACCGATGGAAGTCACCTCCTCGTACTCGGATATCATTCTTGTTCGTTTGGCATTTTCGTAATCGGAACTCACTCTCTCATCGTCGTTGCGATCGTATCCAATGTTGACTTGCGGCACAGTGGTAGGCTTGTACACTACGCATCTCTCGTAGCGTTCGTCGCGCATCTTCGTGCCGTGTGTCGTCGTCTGATCGCGTCGCAGAGTTTGCGCTATTGTTACGGATCGATCGACGACTTTTTCTCGCTCTTGTGCAAACGCGACACGTCGTTGCGACAACGATGGTTTCGTGTCGAACGATGACTCTATTTCGACGTCGTTGGTACGATGATGCAAGTTGTGACGATAGATAAATTTGTTCCCCATTATCGCGGTAGCGGACATATTTAACACCGAGGTCCGAATCGTGTCGATCAGTCGTTCCAATGATTCCGAAAAAACAATTGTTCGGGGTTAAGAACGCGAAATGTATCGGTTCTCGTGCTTTATTCTGTCGTTGACGGTAACGAGCCAATTTGCGGAATACGAGTCGCTGACTTGCGACGGTACGACGTTGTTCAGAGTTGTTCAAGGAACGAGTTCTGCTCGCGTACTATCGGAAGATTCGTTGGATCGCTCGCTCAATTACATTCTATCGTCGTCCAATGTGGAATGCGCACAAATAGTGCGCCATTCCTCGCAAGATAACGCGACGTCAACGTTCGACGATTCGATCACCTTCATGTCAGCGAAGGAAAAGCAACTGGTGATTCAAGCCGAAATAGATCGTGCGGTTAACCAGTAGCTGTTCGAGACTAACGGGAGGAAAAATCGAACCTCGAGTGCGATCGACGCTCCAGGTCCTACGAAAGACCGACCAGAACGTTTTACGTGATTTTTTAATCATCGAACGTCGTAATATTGTACGGGAACGTTTCGATACTTCTGATCAAAAAGATCTACGCGATATCATCCACTGGAGATCGCGATAAAATTGGGAACGATTAACCAGATTATTACGTGAATCTGCAACCGATGTTGCTCGTGTTCATCGCGCGATCTATGGGTTTAGGTACGTGTGAGGTAATCGCCCGGATTATCCGGTCGCAAGTCCATAATTCGTTTACGCGCGATAACTGAGCGTTCGGCGCGAGTTGTATTTCGAAAAATGTTAATGTTATGATTTTTTTGATCGCAGACGCTCTGGAGAATCCCGGATCTGAATGCGTACCGATTTTTCATCGTCTTGGATCACCGGCAAATAACACGCTATTGTGCGAATGGGAGAAGAGTATAATGCGAACGTTCATATACAGTTGCAACGCGAGGATCGAATGTTCGAGGGATCGGACAAAATATCGCGGCGGTATCGATGATCGAAACGCCGCGAGATCAAGAGTGCACGGAATCTTATTACGAGAGGTGTATCCTCTGATGCGTCGTGTCTACGGTGTACTGACGACTTGCAACGACGAATACAATCCCGCGTCATCAACGTTGAACTGTGTATTATAAAAAAGAACTAAATGATTTTGGAATTATTGCTTGGCGCGTTTATTTCTTCGTTTGGCAGATCCTAAAACCGTGATCGAATCGGTCGAAGATGCCGCTATAGATCGTTTGTTGCGCGTCGCGAAATCTCGATTGTGCGCGATCGATCGAGGTTTCTCTATGACATTCAACGCATTGAACACCGATTCGATCATACTTGTCGTTTCGACGGCTTTGGACGATGATCGCGGTGATTCGGCAAATATCGAATTATACAATTTCGAAGGTGCGTTGACGGTTTCGAACGGAAATTGCCGCGGTTCACTGAAAACCGTTTCGTAGGTCTCGTGATCGTTCGAACGAGATGTCGATTCGAACGACGGCGAGTCAACGACTTCGGACGACGGTGTGTCGACGAGGACGATCTCGTGATCGTTCGGGCGCGACGTCGTTTCGGACGGCGGCGTGTCGACGGCTTCGGACGACAGTGTGTCGACGAGGACGATCTTGTGGTCGTTCGGACGCGACGTCGTTTTGAACGACGGCGTGTCGACGGCTTCGGACGACGGCGTGTCGACGGCTTCGGATGACGGCGTGTCGACGGCTTCGGACGACGGCGTGTCGACGGCTTCGGACGACGGCGTGTCGACGGCTTCGGATGACGGCGTGTCAACGGCTTCGGACGACGGCGTGTCGACGGCTTTGGACGGTGTCAACGAGGACGATCTCGTAATCGTTCGGACAATACGTCGAATCGAACAATGCCGCGTTGACGAAGACCTTTTCGTACTCGTTCGGATACGATGTCGCCGCGATTGCGAGTTCCGAGCTCGTCGAATCGACGGCGCGGTTTGTTCGAGCCGTGAACGATCTCATTGAATTCATAATTTCACTGGACTCGGACTGCGATTCGCTTCTTACGGATGACAAAACAGACAGTGATTTCGGTACGATCAGCAATGGTCGATTATTCGTTTGATCTTCGTCCTCGGCGTCGATCGAGTCTGGCGTCCTATCGACGATCACGAGCGATGAATCGTGCGCTGGTTCCTCGTCATCGGTCGAATCTTCGTTATCGCTCGCGTTCGATTCGTAGTTTATCGCATTGTTGCGTTCAAATTCCTCGTTCGACGGTGATATTCGTCGCAGCGATCGGATCACGTGACAAGCGTCGATGTATCGTGTCATGTACGCGGCCAAGCGATCACCGGGCTCGGATTGCCAAAGATAGATCAACAAAGCGGTTAGTCCACCCAGCAGAACGAAGAAGCAAACGATGCCCGTTTGATACCACACGTTCCAATCAACGACCATAGCGTTATCGTCGATGCTGTGCGATATCGGTTAACGGACTTGCGCGATGCTTATTCTTCAGAGCGCGAATTATAGAAAACAGTCAGCCAGATCGACGGTGCTCGCTCGAAACGTGAGGAAACTCGCGCGAGAATCCGCAATGGTATCGGACTTTGGGAATGCGAACGACGTCGCGGTATCGACTTCGCGATCGATCTTAGCACCCAGAGTGTAGTGAGCGAACGTTAATTCAGCCAAGGTTCGTTCGATGGTCACCATGCTCAACGAATCGTAGACCAGACGCTCGATATTCAGAACGACCGCCAATATCGAGAACACTCGTCGATCCACGTTCGAGCAGTAACCCTCGTACAAAGAATCGACCGTGTCCGTCGCGAGCGGCACGACGATATCGTTGACCGTTATTCGACCGTTATTCGATCCGGTATTCCTTCGGCGGCGATCAGATATTTCTCGAGAATATGCTCGTCGCAGCAGATGTACAATTCTCCCGATTGAGGGTCGTACAGAGTACCGAACGGAACGGCTCCGTCGCCACCGCTGTCGATTTCCATGGGTACGATGTACGACACGCTATTGACTACGTCGTAAAAATATGAAAAATACAGAGAGATGCACGACAAGATATGATCGATGAGGGGGGCGCGAGCAGCGATGTTACAAGTACGAGTGCTTTCGCACGAGTCGCGAGGATCCGTGCATCTGTGCGACGATGTCGTTGCGTCGTCGTACTCGAACCGCGTCGATTCGTTGCGATCTGATGCGAATGTAAATTGGAGCGCCTCCTCCACGAAGATCACTCGTTACAACAATTGCCGATCGTAATCGTCAAGCGCGCTGTACACCACGCTTGACACAATATTCGATCGATCGGTGGTCGCTGATACGCGATCGATCGGCACTTGCCTGGAACGAAACGGTGGCGCATTCTTCGTCTCCATTGCTCATCTCTTGTCGCAGTCGTCATCACATCGGTTTTATCGTCCTACGATCGTTGACTTATCTTGGTGCAGCGAGAGAATGCATTTGCGTATTGTGCGGTGAATGAAGCGAATGAACGATGAACAATGAATATTAAAAATTGTCTATTTTTATCTCAACTCCTAGTTCACAAGGATCGACGAATTGTTTCGGCGGTGCGCGTTGACGCGCGCGATCGAAGTGCCTATTTGAGAAACCGAATCGCAATTGCGATGGCGAGGCGATCGACCGTACGCAGCATCAAGACCGCAATAACCGTCAATGCCGCATTCGTTGCGGCACCGTTGTTTCTCGCGATTGCTTTTCTTCAATCGACCGCCGATTTATCGATCGATCGAGCGAACGTCGTAACGTTCTCTCGGATGTGTTGGATTGGAAATCGCGAAAAAAAACGATGAATCGATTCTGGACGAAATCGCGACAATACAAATTGTACGATAGCGAGGAGATTTCGCGATTGTTGAACGATATCGATTGTGAGAAACGCGACGATGCGAGTGTCCTCGAAGGAGGCGGTGATTCGACGTTGCACCGGTGCGAAGGGCAACGAAAAAGTGAGGCCGTCGTCGCTGTCGCGCTTCCCGTCGTGCGTGCTTACATCGCGAAAATAGTCGATCTAGCGACCGCTGGATGGCCATGGTGTTTCTTATTGTTCGTTTTTTACGACAACGTATACATCTGGGCCGTTTCGTCGCATTCATACGGAGAATATGCACTCGTCGTCCGACGTGAAAAACGACGCTTTATCGTACGAATAAGATCGCGAATGATTCGAGCGACAGAGTTGCCGTGAAAGTTCGCATTTGCTTCTCTGTCGTCGCGACGAGAAAGAAACCGTACAATCGCGCCTGTTATTATCTTTGTATATCGTTATTACGGAATATTTTCGCATCGCGCGAACGAAAACCGATCGTATAGCGTCGAGCATTCTGCGAATCGTTACGGGACCACGGTCAGTCGCACGGAAGCAGCGTTTCGTTCGAGCCATCGAGTCCAGGTGGCTGCGATCGAGCGAGTCGATGACGAGTCGTCGAACAGCGAGTCCGTGGCGCCACGATCGTTGTTCGCTGCTCGTTTCAACCAGGTCGCGTACGCTCGTTGCAGCGTACGATCGAATTCGACGGCGGTCGTGTACGTGCGTTTGGTCAGCGGATCATCGATACTGCCGCGTTTGAATCCCTCCACCGATTGTACGAAGTAAACAGCGAGTCGTCTAACGATCTTGTAGTAATTCAATCGATCGCGATCCGAGCGAAAATCCCGCACTAGACAAAATTTGATCGCGTTCGGATCCTCAACGTCCAACGCAAACACGCAGCGCACGCAATCACCCGGACTGTAACCGTACCTTTCCATCGTGGCTTGAATGAGACTGGCTTCCGATCTGACCACACTGCACGGATTGAGCGCCAGATTGAAAGCGAACGCTTCGACGCCGTGCGACGCGTAGTAACGATTCAGCGACGCGAACATCGCTACGAAAAACGCCACTTGATCCTCGATCACGAGTCGGCAACGAGCCACTTCGGGACGCGTCGCGAGGATACTCGCGACATTGCGCTGTAACGTGTTCACCGTACGTTTAACGAATTCCTGGACATTTTTCTCGAATCCTTTGGTGACAAAACGGCCTCGCGCGAGCTCCAGTGTTTTCCAGTATTTCTTCTTGCCCATTATGCTGCACGTTTCCACGCCCGAATCCTTCAAATCGATAGCGATCAGTGGGCAGTTGTAGCGTCGAAACGTTCGATTGATCAGTCGCACTATCAGCGCCTCGTACTCTCGTTGCTGATCAGCGTCCATGGCGTGGAATTTTGGTCCTTTGTTGAGATTCGAGACATCGTTTGCTCCTTCGAGCGACGATACGCCCAGCGTCGACACGCACAGGATGAGCCCGTCCGTATCGCGGTAGATCACGTCGCATCGAATCTCGCGACGCGACAACGCGACACCGTCACCATCACCGTTATCGCCATTGACCACGCAAAGATACCGGGGAACGCGCAACAACCGCGGGTAACCGCTTTGCATATCCAGGCGGTTTCGTGAAAGGTCTTTCGCGACAACAGCGTCACGGCGACGGCCACTTGCGGCGAATATACCACGCTACATCTGTAATTCAGGTATCCGTACATGGAATTGGCGACCACTTTGAACATCTTCTCCTTGCAGCCTAACACGCGTCGCTGAAACACGTCGTCTGTCGCGCGCATCTTGACTTTTTAGCCCTTCCGCATAGGCAGATAGTGACTCCACAGGGAACATACTATAGGCCGGTCGTCGTTCACCGTGGCGCTTCGACACACCACGAGAATCTGTCGTCGCGTCGGATCGATGCTGGACTCGATCATTTCGCGCGCGTTCGAAAAATCGACGCCTTCGTACCATCCGCCATGACGTCGAACGACCGCCGCTGCGAGCGAGTTTCGACCGCGAATCGTGTAACGCGATGTAACGCGACATATCATCCTCGCCATCGCGTCATCGTCCGTGGACTCGATCAGCAGTTGACCGGTGCTTTTGCGCGATGAAGAGTCCACTGGTTCGTAGTCGAAGCATCTCACCAATCCGTCGCGTATGGTTCGATCCAACAGAGTCTCGTCGTCGCCGTGAATTGCCAATAGATGATCGCAGGTCAATACGTAAACCGTCTCCATTGACAGTTCGTACTGTCATCCGATCGACGGGTAGAACGATGCGAAGTCAATACAAATCGGTCTCCTGCAACAGGACAAGATCGAACGTTCAAACAACGATCGTCGCGCGTTCGTCGTCCTTCTCGATCGGACACTCACGAGTAATGATTGGGTGCTGCCAAATTGATGCCTTCGATGTACACCTTGTCGTCGTCGATGCGCGTCAGTCGCAACTGATCATACACCGGTGGCAACGCGGTATGACCGGTCCTCGTTGACAGCGTGACATCGTTGACTCCTTTCTTTTCGTCGCTATCGTGCGAACGTTTACCGCGAAACCATCGACTGACCTCCCGCGGTGAGCGAGGTGAGACCAGTGATCTTTTGTCGCCGTTACATCTGCGGTTCGCCGACAGCATCGCGAACAACGAGTGATCGTTGCACCGAAATGGCAGTACAACGTTGCTGCGTTGCAGAGCGCGCACCGTGAAGGCGTTCGGTAAAAGTCTACTGTTGCCCGAGTGCGACGAATCGAATAGCGTGGCGTAAAAATGTCGCGAGTACAGAGCTATCGTCGGCAAAAGCAATAGATTTTACATCAGATGGTACACCGCGGTGCAATCTTGCAGATTGTACAGTGCCACGCGCAACATGTTAACACCGCGATCAATATCGAGCGCGTTGAAAGCCGAGCCGGAATCGAACACTTCGCTGCCACCGTCGCGATCAAAGTACAATCGACGAATCGTTACCGCGTCGAAGTTCATCTTTTCGCGCCGAGAACGTCCCGTCAAAGAACGTTCAGCCGCCTCGTTGGCACCAAAGTATCTCGAGACGTTCTTCAGCGCGATCGAGCCCACTTATGCGAGATATCGCGCCTTCATGTGCAGCATCAGTTCGAAACTCACTTGGGTCGCGGCGAATCTCGGCTCGCGATGCATCGTAAGTGCTCGGAATGCGTGATCGTAGAGTCCGTAGTACAGCGCACGGTTCACCAGGAACGTGTAATCGTACTCCCAACTGTTGTAGCCCACGAAAATACACGCCACGCGAGCAGCGTCCGTCGGATCGTTCAATCGTACAGATCGACAAAGAACTCGTTGTTCAACAGCATCTCCAGCGCGTCGAGTAGAAGCGCTCGTTCGTCCCGATAAAACAGCACCGTCGCGCGCGACATGCCACATTGAGCGCGCAACACTGCACCTGTCGTTCTCGTTCGTTCGTTTCTTCCTGCGTGGTAAACGGAACGTACGCCAGTATTATCGGTGTCACGGTGGTCTCGTCCATGCCACTACCGACGACGACGCCGCTATCGTTGAGCGAACGATTCGCATCGTCGCCGAATCGTCTCTGATGAACGGTCACGGCTATGGACGCTAAACGCTGATCTTCCTCCACACCGCGAGGCAAGATCTGTCCATGCGCGCGATCGTCTCGATGTCGTAACTCACCACCGGCAGTATGCTCAGTGGATCGTGCGGCAATTGATTCCGGCGCACCTCACGAGCGTTCAGTTTCGCTATGTATTGCAGAGACTCGGCGGTCGGTCTGTCGTTCACTCGGCACCACACACTCATTTCGAACACGCGGTGCAGATCGATAATTTCGGTTTCTGCGCGCTTCTCATCCTCCGTCTCGTCGTCGGTTCGTTTGGCGTCGTCTTCCGTTTCGCAGTCGTATTCTCGAAAGCGTTCATCGTTGCGATCGTCGCTCGCGCCGCGCGCTCGTGGCTTGCGAAAGTACGACGCTAGAGCCACTTCGAAACACGTGGACTCGGTCGCGAACAACGTATTTACAAGTTTGCGCGTGCGCGTTGTCTCGCAGGTAACGAAGAGCTACGCCAACCAAGTGTCGAGCAACGCGCGAAAGGCGTCGGCCAACAATCGAGCTCGTACAGCCTCATCGAGCACGCGATACACCGTTCGGTACGGTTTGTCTCCCTTGTCATCCAACAGATACAGATTCCAGTCGTTCGCTAAGTTTCGCGCAAGGTACGCGTCATTGAACCCAAGATATCCTAAATTCGAACGCGCGTTCACACTGATTCGCTCCAAATCGCGCAGTCCGGCATCGCTCGGTGTGAGAACGGCGAAACAATGTTTGCAACCGAGCAACAATCTCTTTATAGTTTCGCGATCGGTGAGACCGTACGTCTCGAGACGTTACCAGAATCGATCGGGCAGTCCCTGTGTTCGCACGTAATCTATCACGCAGTGTCAATGCGGACAATCGTCCGGCGAATCGGTCGCGAGCGATATTCTTCCGTTCGCTCCGATGTCCGCGAGCGATTGGTATATAACGCGCGACGGGTGAAGAGTCATGGTGCAAACAACGCTCGACAGTAACAACGTCAACAACGCGATCATGGCTGCGCGAGTGATATGTCCGTTGGCGGTGCACTATCCCGGCACAACCGACTTTTTCGATTTGGTTCGCAATGCCGCGTCGACCACTGTTCACCAGCGCGGCTATCGCGACACTGAAGAGTACAACCGAGCCGATGATCCGCGGGAGGAAAGCGACCGATCGTTCGTCACGGAGGAAGGACATTATCGAAACGTGCTCGCTGTCGATGCACTGGAATATACGGAAGTGTCGTGCTCCGGTGGTCTGACGCGACGTTTGTGCACACGTTAGACTATTTTCCTACCATAGACACCGATTCTGTACGCGGCGTTGCAACGCGAGTACCTGTCCAATTTGCGCAGACGGCTAAACTGTCGATTGATGGTGTCTCGTTGCGGAACGGTGACCACGACGATATGCGCCAATGTGTGTACTCTCGTGAGAAACAGCGACCGTGTGCTGTGGACAGTGAAAGATGCTGATCTATGCGAATTTCGCTTCGATTCGTACAGGTCGCAAGAACGCGCGTTCGAATTTAGGATATCTTGGGTTCAATGACGCGTATCTTGCGCGAAACTTAGCGAACGACTGGAATCTGTATCTGTTGGATGACAAGGGAGACAAACCGTACCGAACGGTGTATCGCGTGCTCGACAAGGCTGTACGAACTCGATTGTTGGCCGACGCCTTTCGCGCGTCGTTCGACACTTGGTTGGCGTTGTATCGCGCGCCCGCGAGGACGATCGAAAATCGAGGGGTATCGACTCGCGACGACGAAGTCGCGGATGTGATTCAGCAGTGGACGTCCGCATCGTCGACGAATCGATCAACGAGGAATATGCCTACGTTATAAGAATATGCCAAAAAGGTAGGGCATTCCATTTGAAATATTGTTGGCGACCTTCACGTAACCTTCAAGTGGCTAACCAAGGTCTAATCAATGTTACCTTCTTATGTCCCATTTGACACCATACAACTTTTGTCTGAAACATTTTTCTTTAAAATTATTTATTTCCAAGATATAAGTCTGTAACGCTCTAATTGACTCAACCTGTATATGTCAAAAACCACTGACGGTTTAAAACGCGTGACAGAGGAGGCATGGAGGGGCCCGCGCAAAATATCTGTGTTTTCCGTAGTTGTTTTCTCGCGTTTCTTCGGCGAGTACGTGGTTTAGGGTTAGGTTACCCAGTAAACATTAAATATGTTATATTACATCAACATTATATTTTCTTAATATCATTAATTAATGTAATGTAAGTGTTACTTAATGTTTATATGTAGTGTATAAGAATAGTGATAGTGCAATCATAGTGTTCATTTTTTGTTAAATAAAATATTAAGTGCTATGAAAGTGTGAATGGATGACCAACCTTCAACCAGTGGCATCGAGAAGAGGAAAGTTGGAGCACAAAAATTTAGAACAGCGTTAGGTATTAACATTTTTAAAGATTGGTTGACATGGCATCAGGTACGTTCAATAACAGTGAAAGTGTGTGATATTAAACATTTACATATCATTAATGATAGTATTAAGTATTGTGTTCAACATTAGCATAAGTATTCTTTTTAACGTTTATTTGTTTTGTACAATTTTATTGTGAGAATATTAGTAAGGTTTTTCCGCAGTTTCCCTCGCTATTACAACAAATGTTGATATTCATATATTATTTTTCTGCAGTTATTAAAAAATAAAATTATATGTTTATTATTAATTATGAAAAATATTTTGTTTCTTTCACAGACTTTTCTATTCTTCCTACAATTCCTTCATATTTTCTTTCAAACGAGGGATCTTACGCCCGTATTAGACTATAGATTGAAAATTACAGCTGAACCAACTTAAATAACCAAGATTTAGATTACCTGATTTATGCGATTGCAATTTTCAATCCATAGTATCTTACGGGCGATAAAATACCTTTAAATTAATATGGTACTGAGGCACCCACAGCGTTTGCTCAATGCGCACGCCCGGAAATTCTCTGGATCTCCCAGCACTAGAGAGACAGAGGGGGAGGGAAAGAGGGGGGAGGGACAGGGAGAGGGACAGGGAGAGGGAGAGGGACAGGGAGAGGGAGAGGGACAGGGAGAGGGACAGGGAGAGGGAGAGGGAGAGAGAGAGAGAGAGAGAGAAGATAACGTGTGTGCGTTTGTTCAAAATGTATTTTCGAGAAGAAGGAAGTGGGATACTGATGAAATGATTATGATCGATAAAAACGTTTCGAACGAGACGATACACGATCGCGCATCGCGACGACGTTTCACGCGACGGCGATGACTGACGATATGAAATTGGTTCGTTGTGGAACAGGTGGATGTGGAAACTGTCACTGTATGTTTGTGTGTGTGTGAAGAAACAGAAAGTCCTGAAAAAAATTGTCAAATTAATAAACAAGCTGACAAATCATGTCATTCACCGGTGATCACTTTTCTGCCTACCTACGATAATTGTTATATTTTTGCCTGCCTGCGACAACGAGTAAACCTTAATTTTATCGAACCGTTATATCTTGATACATCGGCCCAACCTAAATGTATAATAGACATAAAGAGATAGACAAGAAAAATAGATCGATGAAGTAGCGTGTAAAGTTCTTTGTGTAGGGACGAGGAAGTGGGATACTGATGAAACGATTATGATCGATAAAAAACGTTTCGAACGAGACGATACACGATCACGCATCGCGACGACGTTTCACGCGACGGCGACGACTGACGATATGAAATTGGTTCGTTGCGGAACAGGTGGATGTGAAAACTGTCACTGTGCGTTTGTGTGTGTGGAAAAACAGAAAGTCCTGAAAAAATTGTCAAATTGATAAACAAGTTGACAAATCATGTCATTCACCGGTGATCACCTTTTTGCCTACCTACAATAATTGTTATATTTTTGCCTGCCTGCGACAACGAGTAAACCTTAATTTTATCGAACCGTCATAAGAATTATATGAAGCGGGTTAAGCCAAAAAAAAAATGCGTGCAGAAATGTTGAGTATTGGACAGATACAAAAAAGAAAATAGGATGGAATGAAGCGATACTACAAACGATAAACTGACAAATTAACGTTTCGAACGAAGATACGCGACCGCGTATCGCGACGACGTTCAACGCGACGACGACGATTGCGAATTGATGATCTGGAATAAGGTTGGAAATGTGTGTATATCGTACGTGCAGAAAAAGCAGTAATTTTAGCAAAAGCAAAGCAGAGAAATAGTCTAAAATTATATCTATAAAATAACAAATATTCACTGAGTACCTGTGTCAAGTTGATCCGTTCGAACGAGTACTCATGCGCCAAATACTGGAAATATACATTAGCGCGCGTCTACCGTCGGAACAAGCCGCGAACGCGCGCCCCGCTTCTCCTCGGTCCGATCTCGCCGTCGGACGACTCTTGCGATCACGATCCGCCAGCGCGCGGCCTGGACCTTTTCCCAGCGTTATCACCGGCCGACCAGCCGACCCGATGTCCGGCGAGCACGCGTGTATTGCCGATCGTGTCGGAAACGACTTCGTCATCACGAGACGACGCCTCGTCGAGACTTGAAACTCAACGGGACATGCGAGCTCTCGACTGGAGGACTTGCTGTCGTCCGTGATAGAACCCGGCGTTATCGCCGAACGATCGCGTTCACCGCGTTTGAAGCGCTCATCGCTCGAGTCGTGGAACCAAATCGGTATACGGAAACCCCTTCGTGCGATCCAAGAGCCGGTCGTCCGCGTCCGTTCGCCTGAGAGCTGAGCTATGACCGTGTTCTCACGAGAGAACGCGAACGCTGACGTACGAGAGTGCGAGGAGTTCCCAACGCGGCGACCGAGACCGAACGCGCGCCCCGCTCCTCCCGGTCCGATCTCGCCGTCGGACGACCCTCGCGATCACGATGATTCTTACCTAGTCTATGGCGCAGGACTACACTCGTTCGAAAGGAGCACCGAGAACACAGTGTTGATCGGAGGTTTCAGCGAGCCTTATATACCCTATTTACACGTGGTAGAAAGGGGAATTAAGGTCAATGAGATTAACAACGCTCGATCGAACACTCAGACATTGTGCTATGCATCAATGCACGTGACACGCGAAAGCGACTCGTTATCTTTGCTCGGTTGAACATTTAAGCGACGCGAGAGCGTTATTTACGCTCGATCGAACACTCAGACGTCGTGTTACGCATCGATGCGCGCGATCTCGCGATTCGTTATTTCCGCTCGATCGAACACTCAGACGTCGTGTTACGCATCGATGCGCGCGATCTCGCGATTCGTTATTTCCGCTCGATCGAACACTCAGACGTGTTACGCATCGATGCGCGCGACACGCGAGAGCGATTCGTTATCTTCGCTCGATTGAACATTTGAGCGACGCAAGAGCGACTCGTTATTTCCGCTCGAGCGCGCGGTGAATTGTCGAATGTTGTTATTTTTTAGCCTCGAATGGATTTGTTCGCGCTCGAATTGCTGCGTGCGACCGAGATAACGATCAACGCGCCTGACGTGGCGACCGGACTTTTGAGTTTTTTCGCGACTGTATCGCGTGACGAGAACATCGCGTCCGATGACTATCCGTCCACGAGCTTTCGTCTCAGCGATATGATCTCTGCCGCTCATGAGGCGCGCGTTCGCTTGTACGAAGCAACGAAAGATGCGTTATAACGATCCTGAGACTGTACGGCTTCGTCGATATCAACGCGATAACATCAACTAAGCCCTCGACACAGCCGAGGTTCGACGCGACGAATAATCATCGTTTTCGCAACGTTGATATTGTTCGATCGTACAACGAATCGCACGAATCGATTATCGACGATAACATCGGCGTGTCGAAACGAACGGAGCGAGCAATCGAAACGATGATGCGCAATTTGCGACGATTGATTCGCGAAGAAACACAAATATTTCGATCTTCGACAAACCGCGAACTCGTTGACCAGCGAAATCGTCAATTTGAACGTCGCGTACAACAAGAAGCTCGATCGAGCGCGAGCGCGATACGGCGAATGGTTCGAGCGTGAAGGTATCGTTCTTTCGGAACAGCGTCTCGATTTGATGCACGAAACGAGCAAATTGTCAGAATCGGCGAACGAATTAGCATCTCTGTTGAACAGTACAGACGACTCGGTGCGACTCGTCGTTCAATGTCAAACCGTCGAATTGGAGCGAGCTGTGACCGCGAATGAAACGCTCAGATCAGCGATTTTCGAAAGAGAGCGCGCCGAGTTGATGACGCAGAATCGATCGCTCGAGAGCGAACATTTGGCGAAAGCAAAGGAACTGGGAAATATCGCACAGAGCATAGACGAGATCGCGACGAAAATGTGAGAGTTGATTTCTCGAGTCACCGTCAAACTCATCGCGTCACTGAGGCGACGTCGTCGGTCGCTCGAAACACTGCAGCGCGAGGTGACCGAAGCGATCGAATCGAAAACTGTGCATCGCACGGTTCTGCTCCAATACCGACAAAACTCGTCCGCTCGATATCGCTTAATCAAAAGCATGAAAAACGTATCCCATGGTGATCGATTGTGAAACTCTGCTGAAAACGAGTCAACAGTTGTGCAACGGTCATTGTCGACATTGGATCATGCGTGCCATGCACGTTCGTTACTGGCCTAACAATGGCACTAATCGTTTCGATGTTGCGCATATCACATTGAACGGCCTGATCGCGTGTCTGTATTTTTACGGCACGACGATACGATTCCTCGACGTCGTGGATTCGTGGTATCGAACAATGCACCATTCCGACATCTCTCGTGCTGTGAACGAACTGTACGTGACACAACGACGGTCGTTCGTCTCGCGAAACGAAAGAAACAAGGACGACGATGGCGCGATCGCGTTGGATATGGTTCGACTCGATTTGAGACTCGTTCCGATCTCGGTGTTTAACGTCGTCATGTCCTTCAGAGCGCGACAATCGCGTGAACACGACGCGAATCCTGCGAATGGAGATAAGGGTGAATAAAGAAACACTGGAATCAAATTGCGAATATCTCTCTCTTTTTATTCATAGAATGCTCAGAGCGCAACGCGCGCCTTAGTATCCGCGGATATCATGAATTTCGACTCGGCTCGATCTATGTACGTCGTCGAGTCGTCGAGAACCAGCGACTTTGATCATTTCGTCGAAGTAGCGGCAACGATCGATCGCGACGGTATCGACGCGTCGCAATCGCACGACGCTCTCTCGCCATCGTAGTACAGCAAACAGCAAGCTACGAAAGAAACGATCAGCGCGATCAGAGCAGACAGCGCCATGATCAGCCACACGAAAAGTGCCGCTGAAGCACCTAACGCCGCGGTAGCAGCAGTCCCTACGATGTCATCCAGAGTGATGATCACGGACATGTTCAGCTCAGATTCACGTAGCGTCGCTTTACCAACTCGTTGTCGGCGTTTACGAAGTAACGCGACTCGTAATAATCGTCGATACCGTTTCTTACCGTCGACGTATCGTATCGTTTCGACAAAAACATGGACGACAATGTGTGTTCGCATCGACGATACAAAACGTCGTACTCGCACAGGAACAAAGTCGAACGAATGTCACGCTTTATCTCCCATTGCAAACGAGACAGATCGATGACCGCAGAGATCGGAAGCAAATGGATCGACGAGGCGAACATCGACTCGACATCGGCACGATCGCGACTTGTGAACGCGTAGCCGTCTCGCCAGAACAAACGAACGTGCCCGGCGATTCGCTGACACACGACGCGATCGAGCATCGCGTATCGATCGTCGTACCCCGTCATTCGCAACCATTTGTTCGATTAGTGCATCTCGCGCGCTTTCGTCAGCCAACACGCGGAATTCGCAACGTCGAATCTGTCATGATGCACGTTCAAACTTTCACACTCGCCTCTTCTCACCGTGAGTTCGCACGATAGAATCAGCGCGAGAGGACGCAAACAATCATCGGATTGCGAATTGCATGATATACTTATCGGTGATAGCGTCTGATTGCGCGTAGTATTCGACAGTACCAACAGCACGATCAAACGATTGTTGCGAAGCGTAGTAAGCACTGTCGTTCCTCTTCCTCCGCATCGTCGGTCGTCATCGTGATCGATTCGATGCACCTCACAGCGATGACACTCTGCGACGATCGAACGTTCCGCGGATCGATGTCTTCGTGTCCGATCATCGACGCGGTCACGACGAACCAATCGAACACTATCTCGTACAACGAATTGTCATCCGTGAAGCAACCTTGACGTTGTTCGTAGCAACGCACCAATCTCCGAATCACCGATTCCGACGCATTTGTCAAGCGCACGGCGCTTTCGTTTCGCATCGTGCCAGTGTGATCGACGTGACCTCGGCCAACCACTTGCCGGAGGGACCGCTGATGAACAGCACATCGGCCTTGGCGCTGTCGATCGTCTCGGCCAAAACGTTGATCGATCTGCAGCGATAGCGAGCGCACAGAGTCTCGAACATGGCGACCCATCGCGCCGTCGTCATCACGGTCGATCTCAAGGGATGATCCATCTCGTCGGCGAACGATCTGAACGGATTCGGGGTCCGACATCGATTTTTTATAGGACGACGCGACGACACGCGCAAACCTTTGAGTCCTTTCGGCGCCGCGCTCGCGTGTCTCGTCACGTTTGTGTTAATATCTCTCCTTTTGTGTGTTATCATCGAGCGAGCTCGAACGATACGGCCGTGAAAGACCCGTCGCGCTACGAAGAAATCACGGGAATTTTCGTTCGCTGAAGCGATCTTTTCGCATGGCGTAATTTAGCACTTCCAATCGATGCGATTCGTCTCGAATGCGATTGAACGCGGTCAACGGAATGTGCGTTCTTGAGTCGAACAGCGGATACAGCCACATATCTCCGTGCAGATCCGTGTCTGGCAAGTAAAGCCACTGATGCTGAAGAGGACCGTCGATTCGCGCGATGGAAGACGCGTCGTCGATACGTTTCGATCCGCTGCGATCGGCGGACGAACGATTCTCCACTGGGGCATTTCGCCGATGTCTTACGCGCGCGATAGCGCGATAACCGCGAGGAACTGACAACAGTATCGTGTTGATATCATCGAACGCATACTTGGGTCTATCGACGTCGTCTCACTGTTGGACCAAAGTCTCTATCATCGCTCGTCACCGTACGCTCCTTCGTATCTGGCCGCGAAATTGTCCATCGATTGGCCGTTTTGGACGCCGCAAAATTTGTTCAACACGCGAAATCCTCCGTGAACGGTCGCGACGCCACCGTCACTCGATTCATTCACCGATGCGCGATACAGCGATACCGTTACCATTCTCGATTCGCCGCGCGCGTTGGCGACCCATACGTATCGAGTCCCGTCCAAAAGCACCACGGATGTGATATTGGCTTCGTACCAAAAGTGATCCACGTAAAACTCAGCGCCTGTCCTCTCGACCTTTGCTACCGAGGAAACGGTTACGAGTTCGACAACGGCGTCGAAATCGATGTTTCGATGTCGCGATTTCACTGGTACGTAACACACCAACCCTCGTTCCAAATGATCGTCCAAACGAGTCATCAAATCGCACGCGATGCCATTTGCTGATATGGCGCGAGTGTGGTGTTTAGTGGGATATCTCATGAACCACGGCGGCGTAGCTGGTGGATTCCACGATTCGTCGGTATCAACGGTGAATCGTAGAATATATCGGCCGAAACGCTCGATCGTCATTAGCGACCCGGCCGATTCGCCGTGCGCGAAACTCTTGTTCCTCGTGGGCCGTTCGATAACTCGAGGATACGTCTCGAACGAATGAAACAGACACTCGGGCGGCATTTTGCAAAATTCTCGTCGTTCGGCCATTCGCGCTCGAGTGTATTCGCTCAAGTATCGAGACGCCGCTTTCTCGACGGCAATGCTCGCTCTCCGTTGCGCCGTCGCGCACAGATGCTCGATCTGTCGCCATTTGTGAGCGATCAACACCGGGTCG